TTTGGTTTTAAGACCAGAGCTAAAGGAATACCAGACCTCAACGCCACAATAAAGTTTATTAATGCAATACTGGGTAATTGGTGTGGTTATATCATCAAGAGTGAACGAAGAAAAGAAGGACCGAAAGATCAGCGAGTATGGAAAAGCACTTATTGGATTTATCGTGTACCAGATAATGGAGCTGGTTTTGAGACTCAAGAAAGAATAAAGGCTATAAAGTTGAATGATCCTAATTATCGTCCTACCATTCCAATTCTTCCACCATACAAGCCAGAATCGATTGATGAAACTCAGGAACTTTTTGATTCAATACCCATTACCACTGATATTACCATTTCAAAATCCAGTAATGAGGTTTGTGAAGATAGTTCTTGTAATAATATGGTTGAGAAATCTGTAACAAAATCGCCACAATTACCTTCTTCGGTATTAATTCAAAATCAATCAAATAATTCTGAACAATTCTCAAGCATTACTGAAGCTAAGAAAGAGTTACCTGAATCCTTAATTTCTTTATCTTCAGAATATCTCATCAAAAACGAATCTGATATAAGTACTCTTATCCTTCTTTTACAAGAAAAATTCCAAATGTCAAAAGAAAAATTGGAACAATGGCGAGCCAAGATTACCTTTGAGTTGCGGGATAACCAAAATTACTGGAAAAAAGAGCGCGAGAGCATGAATGAAGTCGCTTTCTTGGAATATAAACGCAACTTCGAGGCTAAAATGAAGGTCCCTACTACTCCATACAAAAAAGAATTAAAAAATCGATCTTTAGCTCTTATCGAATATATATAACCTAGCTAAATAGTAATTTCTGAAGCAGAGAAATTGCTACGTCCGGCTAGTTATTCATCTCAGGTAGGGGGTTTTTTGTCGCCTCTACAATTAATATAAGAAAAAATTCAAATAAAAAATTAATATTCTGATACCTGGATCATATAAAGGGGTTTTTGTGTTGTGTAATTTCACGTAAGTACTTTTGATATAATGTAAGGTAATTTATCCAATAACCATTTTTGGGTTGCGTATTTTTGATCAAGGTAAAATTATGCTTTGGGTGTCTACCAAATATATATTATAAAATTATGCTTTGAGTGTCTACCAAATATATATTATAAAATTATGCTTTGGACGTCTACCATATAAAGATATCAACTACACGAGAAATGGTTCAAAAAATATGAAACATAGCTGGTATTCGGTAGCATGT